TTTATGAGAGAGAGGCTGACGAAAGCAACTGCACTCACCTGATTTGCATCATAATTTTGCAAATGCATCACCAAGTGTTCATGTAGCGGCAACATTGTGGCTGTGGGTTCGGCTGAAACGAATAAAGCACGAAGAAAAACGCATTGATTGAGAACAAAATAAGTAGTGGGACACGAAGGAACGGAACGAAAACGGCAAAAGTCCGACATGTGGAAGCACTTCTGCACTGCAATCATTTCGGGCACTAATGAAGGATGAATGTGGCCAGTCATGTCATTGTTTCGATCAACATTACAAGTAAGCATGCAACGTTCCGCATGGCGTAAATGTTGTGGGACACAGGAAAAAGATTTGTGGAACTGATAGGAATATCTAAAACGACTAGGAAAATCAATAGGAATCGCTTAAAATGCTACTGAGACAGCAGGAGGATAAGACAAATCGGTTTTTATCTCCTGAATATCAATCGATGCAATCAATGATACAGACAAGTGGTGAAAGTTAGGCGATTCAAGTGATCATCGTATGCATTCTTTCGAAGATTGAGGTCTGCTACCGCTTGTCTCAATACAATTGTAATCTTACCCAGGCCTAACGCAGATCACTGTTCGAAGTCTTAGAGATCTAGATTACCGGTTTCCACAAAAGAACGGTTCGTCCATCCTGAAAAATGCGCCTTTTGATCCAATTCGATAATCCTCCTACGATAAGCGGCTAGCTATGACCTCCTCTTCGGTAATTCAGGACGGTATGCGTGATTGAGCAACTTTGTGAATGGTGGAAAGTGAAGAAAACAACAAATCAAAGATCCGAAGATTGATGCACTTTTTGCTGAAAGCAGCATAAATGATTGGCCGACCGTGTTTCCATCCGGTCAGAACTAACAAGAAGTGCAGTTTTAAGTACGCCAGGAAGAACGTTTATGTCTCAGCTGCACAACCACAGATCAGAATAAATGCTACCCCAGGCACAACGGGAAAACAAAATGAATTAGGAGAGAGAGAGAGTGAAAGGAAAGCAGTTAACAGTTTCGGAGACACCAAAACCGATTTGCTGATCGTTTATTCACGGTTCGGGTATGCAACATAGACGGCTAAAAAGCAAAATAAACACTAGACACCAAATGAATTGACGATATCACACAAGTGTGCTCTTTTAGACCCCATTCCCTCTGTGACGATGGGAGATCCCTCAATTACTGTATTTGACAGATACAAGCAGGAAAAAAACCGAAATATTCCGATTTTACTGATAGGGAAAATACCACTGTCCCCTATAAAAGTGACTAATTCCCTTTTATTTTCTTTATTATACTAATTATTTTTTTATAAAATTTGAATCTACCAATTTTGGTGCTTGAAAAGCCTGAAACCACACCACCGACCACAGTCGATCCTGATCGGTACGCTCTTTCAAAATTCTGTACTTTCATTTTAATTGCTGGCCGGTCTCGAAACTTCATATGAACAGATGGGCTGTCTATACCCATTGACTTTTGAGTCGAGCCAAATATACAACCTCGCCTGAAGGCCTGTCTTCAGTCTTCTCTCTAGTGGGATTCGGAAACTACTACTCTGGCTGAGCGTTTTCTTCCAGCTCTCTTGGGGATTGGGCTGGGTACCGCAGTCGTATTCGTTCACTGGGTCGTTACGGTTCCTGTCCGTGGTCAATCCTACCGCTCGTTCCGTTTGGGTCACGGTTCAAACTAGTCCGGTTGTGTCGTCTATGTCAACGTTACAATGGTTACGAACATTCGACTAAAAGGAAGTTCATTTATGTGAGGGAGAGCGCGAGAAAGGTAGAGAATTACCTGACGTCCGCATTTGGAGGCGTTAACCGGTTAAACATTGATCTGATCCAAAAGCCTCAATATGGTCGAGGGGTGGGTGTTTTGAGTTGTGACAGCCTACCCTTCCTTTGCATGTCGCTAAATGCTCATATACGACCAAAATGCATTTGCTGAAGAAGCCCTGTCCATATGATCCGATGAAATGGATAGCGATCCCCAAAGGAGTGCGGTTTCACACACCGCCCCACTGCTTTCCGGGGGAGGTTTTGGGGCTCCGGTTGAGAGCCTCAAGAAAATTCATCTATTTTGGCCTGGGCAACCTGGTGGTATTGAGCTCACTAGCGAAGTAGGAGACCTTTCTTCCTTATCAACATTATTGTACCATTATTTGTTTGGTACGAAGTCTGGAGGTGGATGCGTGTGAAATGTAAGTACGTACATTCTCGGGTTCTCCACTTTCCAGGCGGGCCTCACAAACCTCAACTGGGATCGATTTTCAATAAGAGAGTAAAATAGTATTTCACGGCGATCACGCAAGATCGAATTAAATTGCCCACGTGTTCAAGTCGGTAACCGTATCCGCCACGGACACGTTATGAGCTATATTTGTCCCACATTCACAGCCATTTAATTTGAGTGGGTGGGAGCAACGTGAGTGGAATTATGGTAGCCCAAAACCAAAGGTACACTCGGGGAAAAAAGAAAGAATATGTTTAGAAAAAACAACCAAATTTTACCCCAGATCGAATGTGGGCTCATGCGTTTAGGAAGATTAGCGAGTTCCGAGCACAAAACAATATTTGTACAGTACAATACAAGATGAGAAAGAAGAAAAAATGAGGAAGAAACGACCACGAACGGATATAATATTTCGCAATCAGTCTGATAAAGCAACGCATGCACTGCAATGAGCCCCTTTGTCTGCAAGGGGGCTTACTGCAAGTTACATGTACCAGGAGAAGTTCTGGTGGTGAATCAACAAGCTGAGATTGTGCGCGGAAGGCATGGCCAATTTAAGTTTGATGTATTTAATCTGTGGCGGATGGGGTAGAATGAAATCCTGACGACAATCAAGCATTTCGTTCAATCTATAATCAATGGTTTAATCAATGCAATGTTTGATCCAATGATTCGCGAATAAAGTCAACAGGATTCCAGCAATACGAGGAAATCAAAGAATCAACAACATTGGCACGTGTCCGTGAGCCACGTCACAGATCTCATCGGATCAGAACGACTAATTTATTGTACTAAGAGGGGTGTGTGGCTCAATGCATTGGTCTTTATGGATAACAAATGCACAAGTTGCTGGAACATAGTAATTATAGGAGTCAGGGACATCGCGTGAGTTGCAACGGACTTTTATGTAATAAATTTGACATCAACTTCTAATTTTCACGCTTACTAAATTTAGTATCGACTCAAACCAACATCTATTTTCGGTCATTTCACGATCGAGTAACCGGGGTTACATCAGATAGAACAATGCTTTCACGTGGTGAAAGTGTTTCCCCAAAGAAGCGAGAAGACCAAAAGTCAACAAATGAGGCTAAAATCGGGCCAGTGAACTACTGGCTGTTCACCTAGGGGAATCGGACAAAAACTCGAACCAAGCACATAGTCCTGTTGTGGCAGTGGTCACCGGCTTCATTGGGTATCGAGATATACTGGGCATCTTGGAAGTTTGATCCCGTTCTAACATATGAAATGGACACCGATCATCAATGGTGTGCGATTTTCATACACAACCTCGGTACCCCGTAGGCCAGGTTTTGGGTAACTGAGGGATCCGGTTGCTAATTCCCCTGTTGTGGCCTGAACAAACTGCCATTATCCAGCCCACTCACAAACCCATAGCTTTTTCTTTCTTAACATTATTGTACAGTTTTTTTGGCACAGTTTGGACTAAGACGCATGCGAAATAATGATGGTAAACACACATGATTGGTGTCCGTTGGGGTTTACTATCCCCGGTGATTTCGTGGTAGGAACCCAAGGGTTGCTGACTACAACTATTTCACGTTGCCACCAGATTCATAAGTGAAAAAGGCTACTTTCGCCCATGAACATCGGATCTTGGCGCGGTTTTTTATTAGGCACGAAATTCCGATTACAAGAAACGGATGACTGTTGATTCGGTCGTTATCAGCTCTCTTATTGCACAGTCTTACGCACGGTCATGCAATAAGGCTCAAACAGTTTTTATCAGTAGTTCGAATATCGGTCAGAAATCTAGCATGTCAGTTACAATCTTTACTAAATCTAGGAGAGTTATTCACGGCTGAACACAATGTGCGCGTACACCTGATGATAACCAGCACTAAACATGGATAAATTGTTGAATTCGAGTAGATGTGTTTACGTCGGTTGCAGAAATGCAGCTGGTCAGTGATCGCATCATTTTCACAGCCAAATTATCCACAGAGGAATCAATGAACAATTGACAACGTTCACAGATCAACAGCGGATTATCCCCCCCCCCCGACCCCATCTTGTCGTATATATGGTGTCACAGATTGCTGGATAGAATCGGCAAACATGTAATGGAAAGGGACGAAAAATTACATTGTTCATCATGCAATTTTAACAGTGAATGGAAATGTAATGACGGATCATCACCAGGTGAAAGTGGTATAAAATTTGAATCAAACCCGAAACAATGAAAGAAGCGAAAAACAGGTGACCAGAAAGCAAGTAAGCGAGCGAACGGGCAAATCACAGAATGACCAAGTACGCACACACACACACACACACACACACACACACACACACACA